GCCTTTTACAATGCCTCTAGTTCTAGATCCCCATGGTGCTCTCTGCTTCCCTCCTATATCCTGTTTTTGTTAGTACAGTGAAATAAACCTGCCCAATATCCAACCCATCAAAATGGCATTTCAGGATGGTCTCAATCATTTTCCTGAAAAAAAATTTTAATTATGTCAAGGCTCTACCACAACCTCACAAGTTCTTTACTGCTGTTTGCTCTATGAAATCTCCATTTCCTTGAGTGAGGCCTGGACTTTGGGACTTGGTTCTAACAAACAGAATGTTGAAGAAAATAGTACTTCAGTGGAGAATTCAGTGGTAGTAGTATCTGTGGTTTTTCCAGAGAATGAAGTCTTTTATAGAGTTGGGGCGATGGCTCACTGGGTAAGAGCACTTTCTGTGAAAGCAAGAAGACCAGAGTTCAAATTACCAGCACCCATGTCAAAACTAGATATGGCTGTAATGTCTGTGTCCTTAGCACTGGGGAACAGAGACAGCCAGGTTTTGAGAATTCTCCAGCCAGCTAGCCAGCCCAGGTTCAGATTTAGTGAGAGGCTTGTCTCAAAAAATAAGGTGAAGAGCCATGGCTGCTACCTGTGTGCCCAGAAGCATACATCTGCACATGTGTGTGTATGCCTCCTCCACACACACAAGCCTTTGGTAGTATATATAGATAAAAAGATATGAATAGGCACAGGTTCTAGACTCTTCTGGAATTGGGCTACTTTACCCTCAGGAGTTCAAATGGCTCACTGCCCCATGCAGTCATAGTCACACAGCAGGTCTCCTAATCACCTCGCCCAAGTCATGAGAGGATATCTGTTGAACCTACAATGGGTCATGAAGACCAAGTCTTTAAATACAGGCCTTGGGAAGGCATTTGAGTTTCAAAATGTGGCATCTTGTTCCTCCTCATTGGGAAACAAACAAACAAAACAAAAAAACCTCCCCAAGTTGTGGGATATTTGATCATATTGTGACACTCCAGATTGTCAATAAAGTTTACCTTGAATAGGGGGTAGAGCCAGTGACTAGCTGACCAGAATTAGCCACAGAGAAGCCAGGAATATGGATAGAGAAGATGCACAGGAAGGAAATGGTGGGGACTAGAGTTTGAGCTTCCCTTTGGTTTTGGGACAAGGGAAGAGATGTGTCTCTTGAAGGGTCCCCACCCAAAAAGCAAGGTCAGATAGTTGTTACTCAACCTCTCTGAGCTAGCAGGTTTTCACCACAGCCCTTGACTCCCAAGTCTTATTGATAAATAGAATGATAGAGACTTAATTTAAACCTACATATTGCAGCCATGAGACATGGCTGTGGGACCAGAAACCCTGACAGATCACAGCCTGAGTGACCAGTGGGGCACTGACTGGGGAGCTGTGGGGCCACGGACGATTCATGTGCAGCCACTAAACCAACAGAAAAACATCATCCCCATTCTAGCATCTTCATTCAATACCATGAAGTTATTTCTTTTGTATCAAACAGAACATCCCCTGCCCCCTTCATAGACTTGGCTCAGACCTACCTTTTAGTAACAAGTCACTCTGCCTTCAGGCTCAACAAGAAGCCAGGCCTAGTTCACCTCAGCAATTCTCCTACCATCCACACTCCCTCTGCTGCATCGATGGTCATGCTGATCACATTACTCATTTGGATCCTTAGAACTACAGAAGTCTTTGCAGGATCAGCCCCCAATTGGGAAAAGTTCACTGTATACTCCCACCTTCAAAGTCTGCCCTCTCCATATCTCAGCTGTAGCAGAATCGCAGCACCACCTGGTGCCTAACCTGGAGAAATGATGATTCATCATGTCTTCCAAGTCCCTCCACACCTGTCAGAGTTGACATCCACTGCCATCCTTTGCAACTCAATCTAGTTCACTCTCAGCCATCCCACACAAATGAGCTGTATGGTTCGCTCTCTCCCTCGTTCTAACTTTTGCCCAAGCACCCCATTACTCCTTTACTCATTCTTGTTAAATACTTGAACAAACCAGCAACCTCCCTTAAGATCAAATAGCAGTATGGGAGGGGAGGCAAAGCCCTGAACTAAGAGAACAGAGTCCATGCCACTGACTTCCAGGATCCTTGAAAATGTTTAGGAGGTCTTGTTCAGATCTTCTATTGGTCTCTTTTTGTTCAGCCTTTTCTAACTATTTTTCTCAAGCTCTAACACTCAAAATAATTTTTTACCTATTTTTATCTAATACTATGATATTTCTTATTTAATTACTAGCCTTGCAAGAATGTTGTTTTCTATTTTTCATGGCAAGTGCATAGTACTTAATCTATACTGTGGTTAAATAGGTTTCTGGCAACTGGCCCGGGAGCTTTGCCAGCACTGATATCCTTGCTGTTATGGGAAAAAGATCCAGACAACTAACTCAGATGAATGTTTGTAATGCAAGCTCTTTATAAGTCAGGAAATGTCTGTGTTGGTTCAGGGATGTAAGTCTTTCTTGTTTCCCAAATGAATTTTCTCAATATGCAACAAATATGTATTGAGGACTTACAGGCTGACTCTGTACTAGGCACAATATAGGCTGTAGGTTTCAGGGCTGAGGTCAGCTTTTATCCTTACTTTCTAGTACAGGAGACACAAAGTAAAGAGGCAAGACCACACCAGGGCCTGAGAGCTACAGCAAGTCTGTGTCAGTCAAAGTTTATCAGAAAAACAGAACCAATTGGAGACAGATATAGAAAGATGACAGACAGATATTAATTTTAAGAAGTTGGTCCATGTATTTGTGGGAAACAGTGAATTTGTTGGTCAGGCCAGCAGGTGGAATAATGGGGCAGAGTCTCTGTAATTTCAAGTTTGAAGCAGAATGCCATCATCAGAATCCATGATCTGTGCTATTAATGGCTTCAATTGATTGGGTTGAACCCACCCATGGTGGTCATCTGTTTTACTCAAAGTCTACTGGTTATTAAGACCAATTGAATCTGAAAAATATCCTCCTAATAACATTTAGACTGGTATTTGACTGAAAAATCTCTTACATCATAAACTGGTCCAACTGACACATAAAATTAATCACACAGCAGAAACCTAGTGATTCTCTGAGCCCAAAGATGAGGACTCTTCATCCAGTGATAGTGGGGTGTAACATACAATTTGGGACACACATAAGCCTTAACTGCTCACTGGCAGTGGGGAGAATGATCCATCTTCCTACAATGGGTGGTGGCTCCTATGCCCTTTGCCATTCTCAAAGAATGCTGTACTATACATACTCAGTTCAATGAACATGGCTCCACTTCCTCAGAGCTATAGGAGGGCTCACAGCTTCCTGTCTGCTGGACTACTAATCTTAGTTTCAATCTCCTTGGCACGAGTGTTAACTCAAGGCCAGCCCCTACCTTGGACATCAGAGTAGAAAGGACAGTGTTGCTGTGGGATGTTCTGTATGTCCTGTGGGAGCCCATTCTCAGGTTCCTCGTGGCTTTACCTAGCAGGTCTGCATAGAGGATGATTAGGACCACGGGCCTGAGTGCAGGTGTCTGAGATGGTCTGTACTTGGCTGTACTGGGGGATGGTCTGGATGTCAAGTTGCTCTGATTGGTCAATAAATAAAACACTGATTGGCCTGTGGCTAGGCAGGAAGTATAGGCGGGACTAACAGAGAGGAGAAATAAAAGAACAGGAAGGCAGAAGGAGTCACTGCCAGCCACCACCAGGACAAGCAGCATGTAAAGATGCTGGTAAGCCATGAGCCACGTGGAAAGGTATAGATTTATAGAAATGGATTAATTTAAGCTATAAGAACAGTTAGCAAGAAGCCTGCCACGGCCATACAGTTTGTAAGCAATATAAGTCTCTGTGTTTACTTGGTTGGGTCTGAGCAGCTGTGGGACTGGTGGGTGGCAAAGATTTGTCCTGACTGTGGACAATGCAGGAAAACTCTAGCTACACAGTGTACATGGCAGTCTGAGCACCTTCTCTTTTGCTGTTGAGTCCCTTGGCAACCCTACCACATACACAGTCAAGAATGAGAATCTCCAGTTGACTCCAAAACCTTTCTCAGACAGTCCAGAGCCACCAGTTGGCCTGATGGGCCCTTCCAGTCCCCAGCCCTGCCCCCTTGGTGACAGCATCTGGTGCCTTTGCCTGAGCAGTCCATCAGTTTTCACACCACTGTCACTGTAAGACTAAAGGAACAAAAACAAAAGATGTGACAAATTTGTCCTTTTCTCTTTCATAATTAACCAAAATATCACAGCATGTAGCAAAGCACAGCTCCTAATTAACAGACAGACGAGAGGTGATTAAGAAAAAATGCCATAGCCCTCTCTCAATAGTCCTCCCATGCCTGACTCTCCCTCCCACCTAGCAGCACCCCCATGCCCCTCCCATCCCAGTAATTATATTTGCAAGAGAGAATGATATTCTGGTCAGATATGACAGACAGAAAAAGCCCAGTCCCCAGTGAGGCAATTAATATTTCACACCTGCCAAAGCAAAGTGGCAATAGAGTGGGAGGGGGGATTCTGAAAAGGGGATTACATTGTCACCAGTCCAGGATTTGCAAACGTCAAGTGGGGACAATCTTTCTGTTGGGCTTCAAGGATGGGCAAGCCAGTCTAACACAGCAAACAGGCTGTCAGAGTGTGCATGGAATGAGGGTCAGGGGAAGTCACTGGACAGAAGACAAAATATGGGCTGTTGGTCTTCTTTTGTTGTGTAGCTCATGATGCATAGGAGGGTGGCATATAGAATTGTTAGAGGTGGAGAAGAGTCAAGTGAGGAGTGAGCAGACACTACTAGTTCCAGCCCCTACTCCCACAGAAGCATAGGTACTCCACTGGTCCTGCCTGCCACCCACACAGAGCGCCATGCCTCCCCCTGCTCCTCAGGAGCACAGGAGTGTGCACAGACACAGACATCACACACGTACACACACTTCTTTGTGTACAGACACTCCTGTGCACTAACATAGCCATTTCCAAGGCAAGCAATCACCTAACAGTTTCCATCCTATTAATAACTCACAGTGGGGACTGACCTTCAACAAGAGTTGAGGAGAAGACAAGCTGTGCTCAAACCGGAGCAAGCAGTGATGACTGGAGGCTGGAAAGGAAGGGGAAATGAGTGAGGTAGGAGGTTGGATAACAGCACCAAAATAGAAGCTCTAATGCACTACAGCACAGTAGGATGACTGTAATTTACAATAATGTATTACATATTTTATAAAGAACTATAAGAAGAGACTGAAGGCTTTCAACGGTAAAAAAAAAAAAATGACACGTTTAAGGAAATGGAAATGCTAATTATCTTCATTTGATTATAACATATTGTATACATATATCAGATTACTACATTGTACTCATAAATATGGCAATTATTCTGTCAATTTAAAAATAAAAAAATGCACATAGGTTAAAAATAAAGAGTGCATATATGGCTCAGTGTGAAAGGCAGTCACAGTAGAAAGAGCATAGGCTTTAGTGACCCATATAGCTACAGCTCCACGTGGCCTCTTTCACAGTGAAATTCTAAGGTTATGGACTCATTATTTAATAAACCACAATAACTTCAGCTGCATAAGAGCAAACATTTCTTCACTTACTCTACCCAACCACTCATTGAAAACTAAGCAGTGAATACATGCCTTGGGACAGGCATTGTACCAGGCCCTGCAGAGAGTGTTGGTTACTCCATGCAAGGTCTGCCTTCATACAACTTGTACTCTAGCAGGTGGTTGCTGGAAGGAGACCAGAAAGAGGCCCTGCTGTAGGATATCAGGAGGCATAGGAGGCTTGAACCAGGGTGGTGGTCAAGGTGCAAAGATAGAAAAGAGACAAGTTATGGATTGGTGAGCAGTAACAAAGGGCTTGTTGGAAGTCTGGGTATTAGAAGAGAAGGTGGGGGAAAATAGGGACTTCTACTGCAAGATCTAGAAACAGAAAAGAAGAGAAAGGGTCCTCAGTATAACACTCAGCACACCATGGGTCCAAACTTGGACCAGCACCAAAGGAAATGGAGCAATGTTTCTGGGGTTAGGAATAGAACAATAATGATTTCCAGAGGCTTTGAATTATCTAATTCCAAGGAGGGAAGTGTCAGGAGTTTCTGAAGGAGGCAGGAAAAAATGGACCAAACAAACCTAAAGGTAGGAACCCTGAGTCAACAGACGTAAGATTCTATTCAAGTTGTATGTATGAGGATTCTACTTTAAAAAACAGGTAATAGGTGTGTTGAATTTTAAATTTAAATAGAACCAAGCCCAAATCCTCAAAAATCAATATCTACATTGGCTTCAAGTCTATGAATTTCCTCCCACATAGAGTCACTAAGCAGGAATCATTTTGAACTCCAAGCCTCCAGGAGGCTGCCCTGAAGCATCAGACAGGGCTAGGGCAGAGAGCTACCTAGCACACCTACAGCCAGTTGCCTCCTGAAGGGTTTTCTAAAAGGACAGTCCATTCAATGGCCCTGGAGATCTGTCTTTTAACACATCTACACTAAACAATCTGCTTCATTTTCAGCCCTACTCTCCACTAGGGCTGTGTCCCCAAACTTAAACAAGCTCTAGAGGTGATGGCTCCATTCTAGTACTCTGACACCGTCACCTCTGATATGTGAACCCCAAAGGATGTGGAAAAGGCCCAGCCACTGGTAAAGGTAAGGTAGAGACAGCCCTTCTGAGAGACCTGCCTTCGCAGTCCTGCACCCTATTAATTCTTTCTAACTCAAGGCTTCTCTGTGTGGCTCCTATACACCCCAGCTTCCCTGGATCAACTTAGAGATTCACAGGGTAAAAACATTTTAATCATCATATGACAGTGTTTCTCCTTTTTGCTGCATGGACATTGGCGCTGAGGTTTCAAAGGTGATGACTAAAATTGTCAGCACCCTACAAATTATATAGTAAGTTATCATCTCTTCTTCCTCCCCCTTCTTCCTTCTTTCTCTTCTTCCTCCTCCTCTTCTTGCCACACATTCAGTTTTTAAGCCATTTTTATTTATGAATGCCTTTTATGCATCAGTGGAAATAATTAATTTAACTAAATCTCAGCCTTCAAATACACATCTTTTTAATATGCCGTGTGACGAACCAGGAAGCAAACCAGTGACATTTCTACTGCAAACAGTAAGTCAGTCCTCACCTCAGGGAACCACTAGCCTTGAGCTGCAGGAGCCACTTCTTTCTTGGAACTTCCTTCCTTTCTGAAGGCTGGATTGATGAGCTTTAGTCCTTTAGATTTGTGTCTTTGGTAGAAATTATCTCAAAAATAAACAAACTTAGTCTGTCACTTTAGTGAAAATATTTGGCAGACTTGTAGCCCATGCTACTACTTAACACTTTTGTATTTAAAAAAATTATATTTTTGGAAAATATGAGTTCCCCACCATCAACCTGACAGCTTATCAATACTGAAATTATCCTTGATGAGGTCAGTGGTTTTTTGTTATTGTTGTTGTTTTTTAACTATCTTGTATACTAAAATGGTTCAACATTTAGAAAACCTAATAACTCGGCTAAGTCACATTTTTCAAATCTTGATACATGACCCACAAGACATGATCAAAGAACCATGACAATGGAAAAATTATGAGCAGATTTTCAGGTACAACATTCAGTGGCATATACAAGGCTCAAATCCACATGGTAAAGAACCTTGAAAAGTAGCTTTCATGGAGGTGAAGTACAGTATCAAAAGTGAGCTGCTGAGCCATGCATGCCTGTAATCCCAGTACCTAGGAGGCAGAAGTAGGGTTGTCAAAGACAGCCTGAATGATATAGTGCATGACTCCTTACTCCAGCCCACCTCCCCACCACTGTCTCTTCTCTTAGGCCTGGCATCCTAGTGTTTCCTCTGTGTCTCAGCCCCAGGATCAAGTTTCTATCCCCAAACACCAGCCAGAAACTTCTTGGATCCCTTCTCATAGTGGCAGAGAAGACTCTGTCTTGCTGTGTATCCAATTCTCTCTCACCCTTGAGCTTACATTCTATCTCTAGCTCTGTCTCTGTCACTATTTAAAAAAAAAATGAGTTTATTTTATGTGTAGATGTTTTGCTTGCTTAGGTGGTGGAGCACTCCATGCATGCAGTGCCTGCAGAAGCCAGAAGAGGGCGCGCTGAGACTGGCATTATAGAAGTTGTGCATTACCTTGTGGGTGCTAATAATTGAACCCTGGTCCTTTTGGAAAAAAAGACAAATGCTCTTAACTGCTGAGCCACACACATTAACACCACCGTCACCACCACTAGCAACAACAAGAGTTGTTCCTATAAAGATATGTCTTCCTTTAGTACCATTTGGTCCTTAGAAAAGTAACTTTTCTGGTCTTACTCACATGTATGAACAATTAAAATCATCTTCACTGGACTACTGTGAGATATGAATAGGACAATGGTATGAACCAGATGTTCCACATCCGAAAATCTTTTCTTCACATCTTGTTCTGCACCCTGGAGATTTCCAGTTGGGTTTAGTTGCTGGGAAACATTAGCTAGAGACCCCAGAGTGCAGGAGGAAAAAGAGGCTGGAAGACTTGTCACCCTCCCACATGCACACACAAGTGCACATACATGATTTGGCTACATCTCCCAGGGAAGTAGGCTAGGTAGGCTAATTCTTTCCCTTTTGTCACTATGAGCCCAGGGACAGGACTTTACATATCCAGAGATGCCTTACTGCTGTCCCTGGTTAAATTTCTTTAACAGCCACCTCAGTGTAAGTTTTTCCTCACTTAAATTCTTCTCAATTATCTTTCCTGGTGTGTTATTCATTTCCTGCTGAGACCTTGACTTAAAAGTTGTAAAGTACTGGATTATGTGTCTTCAACCAAAATAAGAAAAGGCCTTTTCTTTATAATTATAATGTCATCTAGGACCATTGGGCACCCCAGCTCCTTGCCTACCTCTCCAGGGATGTAAGAGAACACAGAAATTTTTATTCCACTCAACGCAGTTTATTCTCAGCACCACTCAAGTTCCAGACATTATACCTAGAAAAAGTTTAGAAAGAAGCCTGAGGAACAATTCCTGTCTGGAAAAGGAACAGAGCTTGCTCATGCATATGCTTTCACTCTGCTGCCTCCCTTCTCAAGAGCCCTTCCCTTTCTGCAGGCCAAACGTACTAGTGTGACTGTGTTAAGCAACTTTTCCACATCCCTGTGTCAGAAATAATGTCTTTTACCCCCAAACACTTCTTTTAAAGCACTTGTCTCTTTTTAATTTGTAATATTCAGTGTAATTCAACATATTTATCTAGTGCTTATTTTATGCTGAGCCCAAGGCCTGACACCAAGCAGTACAAGGAAAAAGTATGATTCGGTTGTCACCCTAAGGGAGCTCACACCCTAGCCATGTAGACAGGAATATAAACATTTCTGATGCAGAGGAATGGTGGCGTTAATGGGAGTTTATACAGAACTCTATGGACTTGGGTGAAAAGAAACACTATAGAAACATCTAAATGGATGTGAAGAAATAAAAATGTTGGTGGCTGTCAAGATGACTCATCAGGTTAAGGCACATGTCACCAAGCCTAACAAACTTCAGTTTGATCTCCTAGACCCACATGGTAGAAGAGGGACCTGCAAACCGACCTCCAACTTCCACAAGAATGCTGTGGCATTCACCTCCCTACTCCTCAAATAAGTAAAAAAAAAAAAATGTAATTTCAAAACAAATGTAATTTTTTAAAAAAAGAAATATGTGTGTATGTATATGTATGTTTTAAATGAAGCCTAAAAAAGAAAAATAAAGAATGTTGGAAAGATGGCTTTATACCCTAAGGTGTAGGTTGGGGAGAGTGGGCATCCAGTCTAATAAGAGAAATACAGCACATAGGCAGTCACATTCCAGATGGCATCCATCACAGAGCAGCCACTGTAGCAGTGAGGCTCTTTCCTTGATACATGTCCCACCTAATGACAACCTACAGAGATGACAAGGACCTTGGAGGGACCAAGTGTGGACCTCAGATTCTAATGGTGAGGACCAGAACAATGTCCCAGATAGCCAGACAGGCCCATAGTGGACCGAGAGGCTGGGCACTAGTCCAGATCTGTCCCATGTGGAAGGGCATGGATCCAAAACATCCTTCTCCTGGTAGTTC